GACAGGGTTGGGAGACAGACTGTACCCTCCCCACAGATTCCTGTCCATGCTGGAGGAGGAGATCTATGGGGCGAACTCTCCGATCTGGGAGTCGGGCTTCACCATGCCGCCCTCAGAGGGGACCCAGCTGGTGCCCAGGCCAGGTACACGCCCTGGTAGGCTCTGTAGGCTTTCGGCTTGGCCTTCCTGGCTGAGCTTGGCCTCCTGCCGGGGAGGAGACACTGTGGATGGCAGCCGCGGGGACATGCATGCGGGAGGGTGCATCTGGGGCTTAGAGGGCCCGGATCCCTTTGTGGGACCCATCGCCACCTTTGACCACCCCCCCGCTCCCCCTGATTTTGCTCACCCTCAGCTACGGTCAGCGCGGCAGTTGTTCCCAGCGCCCCCATCTTCAGCCCCACCATGGGTGGGGGCAGCAACAGCTCCTTGAGTCTGGATTCCGGAGGGGCTGAGCCCATGCCAGGTGGGTACTTGACCCCTGACCCTCATTCACCCCTCCCCTAACCTCTTGCTGTCCACGGGAGACCCTGCCAACCTTCCCGGCAGGTGAGAAGAGGAAGCTCCCAGAGAACCTGACCCTGGAGGATGCCAAGCGGCTCCGCGTGATGGGCGACATCCCCATGGAGTTGGTCAACGAGGTCATGCTCACCATCACCGACCCTGCCGCCATGCTGGGGCCTGAGGTGGGCAGCCCGGCTCGCTGACCAGTGTGGGGAGGGGACCTCACCGGCCTGAGGCCCCGGCTCACCAGCCCTCCTCTGGTGCCCAGACGAGCCTGCTGTCTGCCAACGCAGCCCGGGACGAGACGGCCCGCCTAGAGGAGCGCCGCGGCATCATTGAGTTCCATGTCATCGGCAACTCACTGACGCCCAAGGCCAACCGGCGGGTATTGCTGTGGCTCGTGGGGCTGCAGAATGTCTTCTCCCACCAGCTGCCGCGCATGCCCAAGGAGTACATCGCCCGCCTCGTCTTTGACCCGTGCGTCCCCAGAAGAGCCCCAACCACACCTGGGCACCTGTCCTTGGCCCCCCTATGTTCCCCCACCCCCTCCTCTTCCTCCAACCTGTGGGAATACTTGTTCCTCCGCTCTCGGCACTGAGTGCGGCCCCGCCTCCAAAGCTGTGGGGTTCCCGGGAGCATTTGGGGAACAACAGGTAGGGGCAGTGACCTGTCCCCTCTCCCCTTAGGAAGCACAAGACTCTGGCCTTGATCAAGGATGGGCGGGTCATTGGTGGGATCTGCTTCCGCATGTTTCCCACCCAGGGCTTCACAGAGATTGTCTTCTGTGCTGTCACCTCAAATGAGCAAGTCAAGGTGAGTGCGTGTTCCTGGCCCCAGCCCCTTCCGGCCACCTGCTTCTCAGTTTGGACTGGGTCAGAGCAATAATCCCAACCCTTCTTCTAGTGGCCAGGCAGTTCTTCCGGGCCCCACAAGGTGGCATTTGTCCTTTGATAACTGCGTATTAAGACACTTGTTGACAGATGGAGGCCCCAAACCAGTAATGCTTTTAAATGGACCTGAATTTCCTTCACAAGAACGTTCACATACACTGGGGAGTTAATAATTTTTACACTAGCCCTGGGCTGGGTGATCATCCTGGGTTCTGTCCTGGAATTGTCACAACAGACCCACTGGTAGGGTTCCCGGTTCTCCTGTTCTACATAACCCAGATCTGCAGGGTGCCTCCCTGGCCTTGACGTGTGTGGAAGACACTCTCTTGAGGGTTCAAATGTTGCACTGAGTGGGGCTCTTGTGATTCCTCTTCCCCTTTCCCCCCAACTCTGATGCCTGGGAACTGGGAACCAGTGACACGTGGACGGCAACTTCCTGGTTGGGATTTCCATCCTGGCCTTAACCGTGGCTGGCTGTCTGACCTTGGACACGTTTCCTAACGTAGTTGAGTTTCAGTTTTTTGTTTTTGATTTTGTTTTTGTTTTTATCAAAATGGAGGTAATAATATTTACCTCATGGACTGACTTGAGAGTTGGTCTGTAAAGTACCAAGCACCACACCTGGCCCAGAATAAATGCTCAGAAAGTCTCCCTCACATTCTCCCACAAACTCGCCTTCCTCTGCCAGTTGCCTTTTCTCCTGTATGTCCAGGATCCCCTAGCTGTCTCTATATCCTATCCAGTCTGCTCCTTCCTCTCTGGGGCCCCCCTGGTAAGCCCTGCTCACCTCCCCCACAGGGCTATGGGACTCACCTGATGAACCACTTGAAGGAGTATCACATCAAACACAACATTCTCTACTTCCTCACCTATGCCGACGAGTACGCCATTGGCTACTTCAAAAAGCAGGTGACCCTCCCCTCCCTGCACACTTGCCTGCTGCCTGGGGCTAGGGGTCATTCTGTCCAGCCCCCTGTTGTGGACGGAATGGGAGTCCCTTCATGTCCCTTGCTTCATCCAGCACCTGCGAGGAGATCTTTCTCGCCCATCTTCCTGCCCCTCCTCCCCCCGCCGTGCTGCTGCCCCAGTGAAGAGTGAGGGCCTGGAGGGCAGTAGGGCAGGCTGGAGGAATGTTTCCCATCCAGGGAAACATTGCCAGGGAGTCGGGAGGGGCAGCTGACCTGGAACCTTTTTGGGGACAGAGTGATTGAACCCACACAACACAGAGCATTGTACCAGCCACCACAGGAGGGGATCCAGGAACCCGGGAGAACAGACAAGGCCTGCACCGCCCCTCAGAGGCTCCTGGGGGAAGAGCTATTCGAGTTGGAAAAGCCTTGTCGACGGATTGGGTCATAACTGTCCACTCCCTAGGGCTTCTCCAAGGACATCAAGGTTCCCAAGAGCCGCTACCTGGGCTACATTAAGGACTATGAGGGTGCAACATTGATGGAGTGTGAGCTGAATCCCCGGATCCCCTACACGGAGCTGTCCCACATCATCAAAAAGCAGAAGGAGGTGTGTGTGTACATGTGCGTGCACTCATCGTTGGGGCTTACCGTGCGCACGTGGGGGAGAGCACGCATGTGTGGGTGTGTACCACAGGTATGTGCGTGTGTGAGCCAGGCCTGGGGTGGGCCGGGATCTTGGTTCTTTCTTTCCCTCCCAAGGAAGTTAGGAGGCGAGGCGCCTGGACTCAGCGGCAGGGCCTCTGACTGTGGCCCTTGGGAGGGTTTCCGCTGGGACTGGAGTCGGCCCCTCAAGACGCTGCCTTCCCTCAGATCATCAAGAAGCTGATTGAGCGCAAACAAGCCCAGATCCGAAAGGTCTACCCCGGGCTCAGCTGCTTCAAGGAGGGTGTGAGGCAGATCCCTGTGGAGAGTGTCCCCGGCATTCGTGAGCAGGGGTCTTGCTGGGGGAGGGGGCACCCTGCTCGGTGTGTGTTGTCGAATTCTTAGGGATGCTCTCCCCACCCACTCCCCACTTTGCAGGAGAGACAGGCTGGAAGCCGTTGGGGAAGGAGAAAGGGTGAGTGCTGTGTGGAGGGAGAGGGTGTTGGGGGAGCCAGAAGGGCCAAGGGCCTCAGACGTGGTGCCTCTCACCCCAGGAAGGAGCTGAAGGATCCAGACCAGCTCTACACAACCCTCAAAAACTTGCTGGCCCAGATCAAGGTGGGGAGACCAGGTTCCCTTCTGGGGGTGCCTGCATCAGCGACTCTGGCTTTATGACCCATTCGGGGGTGGGTGGCGGTCACGAGGTGGGCTTGGCGCACAGTGGGCCCGGCTCCAGCTCAGCTTTCCTCTCTAGTCACACCCCAGTGCCTGGCCCTTCATGGAGCCTGTGAAGAAGTCAGAGGCCCCTGACTACTATGAGGTCATCCGCTTCCCTATTGGTGAGGACACTCCATTCCGACCCTTTCCTTCCTCTTTGGCCCCCAAATCTACTCCTGCCTTCACTGGACCCCACAGCCCCGCTCGCCTCAGCCTCTTAAAAGCATGCCTTTACTTCCTGCTGCCCCAGACCTAAAGACCATGACGGAGCGACTGCGCAGCCGCTACTATGTCACCCGGAAGCTCTTTGTGGCTGACCTGCAGCGGGTCATTGCCAACTGCCGCGAGTACAACCCCCCGGACAGCGAGTACTGCCGCTGTGCCAGCGCCCTGGAGAAGTTCTTCTACTTCAAGCTCAAGGAGGGGGGCCTCATTGACAAGTAGCCTCTGGCTTTGGACCGCAGCCTTGACCTGGAATGTCTCCACCTTGGGTTCCGATCCCATCCTGAGGGGTGCCCCTGGCGCCCAGGTTCCTCTCAGCTTAAAGCACTCCAGCCCTGGGCCCTGCAGCCCTTTCTGGATCCTCAGGCCCCAAGCCTGCAGCTCTGTCCCACTCTCCGTTGTATCTGACCTTGGGCAGGGATCTCCTGGATCTGGGGTTCAGCCCCTCTACAGTGGCTGGTGGCTATAGGATAAACCCTGCCCGGCCCCGGTGGCCCCCAGCCCTGTCCCCGCAGAGCCACGAAGTCCTGGAGGCCTCGGCCTCGCCTGGCCCACTGTTTGCTTGAGGGCTGAGACTGCCACTTTTAGCTCGTGGGAGGGGGCTTCAGGGTTTGGAAGTTCAACTGGGACTGGAGTGGCCATGCCTCACCCTGCACAGTTCTGTCTGTCCCCCAGGGGTGGGGGACCTGGGGACCATTCATTTCCTGGCATTAATCCCTCAGAGGGAACAATAAAGCTTTTTTTTTTTTTTTTCTTTTTCCCCTCTGTGTGATTGTTTCTTTGGTAGAGTCCATAGCCTGAACAGGCTGACCCTGTTCCCGGTACCTCCTACAAGCTGGAGTCTATTAAACCCCAGATTGTCCTGGGGCCACCCTCCCCAACAAGCCTCATACCTAGTGCCACGCCCCTGGGACGATGGCACCTGCCTGGCCACAGCCCTACTTCCACTCCTGCCCAGGTGTGGGTGCTGCAGCGGTCCCAATCACCGGGCCACCTTCACCTGGGTGGACATGGTTACAGCTGATTCAGAAGGGTGGGGGGCGGGGTGGAGACCACTCTTGGAGGAGGGGCCGGCAGGACCCGGGAGGAATGAAAGGGTGCTTTCCTGCAGGTTTTTCAGGCAACGGGGATTTCTAAGGCAGATCTCTGACAGAGCTGGCTCCTCCCCTGAGTTTCAGTTTCTGTTTCCGATCTCAGCACAACCCCGGGCGGGCGACCAACACCAGGCATTGGGGCTAACCACCCTCTGTGCCTCGGCAGGTGGTGCAGATAAGAACTGGCAGGGGTCAGGTGTAGTCTGTGTTACTCGTCTCCCCTTCAGATGATCAGATCAGATTCCAGGTAGGTCCCTTCGGTGCCCTGCTCCACCTCCCTCCAGTGGGATGGGGACGGCTCTGCACCAGAGTGGGCTGGCCAGGAGCGGGGAGGGAGCCAGGATGGCCAGTCATCTGAGCCTCCTTCCATTCCCAGAAGGGAGCTGCGACCCTACCAGTGGGAGGTGATCATGCCTGCCCTGGAGGGCAGGAATATCATCATATGGCTGCCCACGGGGGCTGGGAAGACCCGGGCAGCTGCTTATGTGGCCAAGAGGCATCTAGAGACTGTGGACGGAGCCAAGGTGGTCGTACTGGTCAACAGGGTGAGTAGCCCGCTCTCCCCTCGTTGGGGTCTCAGCTCCTCAGGTGCCTCACAAAGCCCGCCAGATCTCCAGGGCTGCTGTGGCCACCTCTAAGCTCACCTGGCTTTTCTCCCCTTCCCGTCCCCAGCCAGTTCCTGGGGGTCACGTTGCCTCCTCCCCATCACCCCATCCAGCTTCCTCTCCCTGACTCCTTCCCCACCCCCAGGTGCACCTGGTGACCCAGCATTGCGAGGAGTTCAGCCGCATGCTGGACAAACGCTGGACCATTACAACCCTGAGTGGGGACATGGGGCCACGAGCTGGCTTTGGCCACCTGGCCCGGAGCCATGACCTGCTCATCTGCACAGCCGAGCTGCTACAGATGGCACTGACCAGCCCCGAGGAGGAGGAGCACGTGGAGCTGAACGGTGAGGGCTGAGCCAGGGGAAAGAGTACACACCTGAGGCACCTCGACCTGCCAACCCCAGGGCATCTCTCCTAGTATGGCTGTTGGGATGTTTTGTGGGAGTGAGGGGATCCCCATTCGCCAAACCCCAGCATACACCCTAGTAGAAGCAGATCTGGCTAGAATGCAGGATCTGGGCCAAGCCTCAGCCCCACCGCTGAGCCTCAGTTTACTAATCTGCAAAATGGAGGTAAATCATCCCTGCCTCGGCCGGTCTCTGGAGCCTGGCTGCGGGTTGTGAAGGGAGGAAGGAGTTAGAGGAACTGTGGGGACTACATGGAGAAAAGCTGATGGGGGAGGAAAAGCTTTGCAAAGGTCACAGCCTTCCCCTGTGTTCGCCCCCAGCCTTCTCCCTGCTTGTGGTGGATGAGTGTCACCACACGCACAAAGACACCGTCTACAACATCATCCTGAGCCGGTATCTACAGCACAAACTCCAGAGGACACGGCCCCTGCCCCAGGTGCTGGGTCTCACAGCCTCCCCAGGCACTGGTGGGGCGTCCACACTTGATGGGGCGATTGACCACATCCTGCAGGTCAGCTTGGCTCCTATGACCCTCCCGCCACCAGAGTCCTCCCTGCCCTGCCCCATGCCCATCAGCCCTACCCAGGCTCTCCTGGGTGACCGTCCGGGCCCCTTTGTCACTGAAGCTGCAGCCTCCAGTGGCTTCTTCCTATACTTAGAATAGACTGCCATCTGTCTACTGTGGCTTACACAGTTCCATCCGACCCAGCCCTGCCTACCTCCCCAGCCTCATTTCCCCACACACTCCCCTCACCCCTACCTCACAGGCCTTCTCCAGGTCTCCGGAGCATGTCCTGCTTGTCCCCCTTCTCAGGACCTTTGTGGTCACCGTTCCTTTTGCCCTGAATGCCCTTCCCCCTGCACTTGGCCTGTCTGGCTCCTTCTTGCCTTTCAGGGAACAGCTTAGTTGTCACTTCTTCAGAGTTCTTCCCTGACCTCCCCCACTACACGCTATCACATCATCGAGTTTCATTCTCCTCAGAGCTCATTAACGCGGCCTGAAGCCCTCTCATTCTGTTATTCTTTCCTGCTTTGTCGATCTGTCTCCCCGACACCAAAATAAGACCTTCTGGATCCCCACTGCCTCCAAAAGCACTGGGCCCAGAGAGGACGAGCAATAAATATTTTGTTGAGTAAATGAATCCCCACTTCCAATGGCCCTGCTCAGTGGTAGCTGGGACCTGTCCTGTCCCAAAGTTCTGCCCGTTGTCCTCATAGGACTCTACCCCAGTCTGGTGAACCCCCATCTCTTGCCCCAGCTCTGTGCCAACCTGGACACGTGGCGCATCATGTCACCCCAGAACTACCGCCCCCAGCTGCAGGAGCACAGTCCTCAGCCCTGCAAACAGTACAACCTCTGCCACAGGCGCAGCCAGGTGAGTGGAAGGAGGGATACGGGCAGTGTGGGGGGGGTGTGCTGGCATGAAGTTAGGTCACCTGGGGTTGAGCCCTGATTCCACCTCCCCTAGCTCTGTGACTTCCCGTTACTTGCGTTTATATCCGAGCCTCTGTTTCTCCCTTCTGTGAAATGGGGAAGTCGCAGCCCATGCCCACAGCCTGCTGTTTGGTTTGACTCCGACGCCTCTCTGGGCACCTGTGAAAACCCTCCAGCACCCTGTCCGGTGCTTTGCAAACTTTAAACCTGGAGCACTTTGTGCTGAGGCTCTCCCACGGTGCAGACACCGTCTGGCGTCTGCTATGACAGGGCTGCACAAGGGTTTAGAGATTGCTGTTCTCAGGCCAGAGGTCAAGGGCACGTAGCGGGTGGAGGCAGAACAGGAACCAGGGGCAGCAACCTGACCCCTGCCTCCAGTCGGGACTCATTCACATCCCGGCAGACCTCCCTCCAGAGCTCCTTCTCAAACACCACGGGTCAGGGGCAGCAGGAGCGGTGAGGCTTCACGTGGAGATCGGCGCTCCCGTTGGGTGCTCATTGCTCCCCCATGTGTATGGGAATCCCTTCACTCCCTCTTCTCATCCAGGACCCATTTGGGGACATGCTGAAGAAGCTCATGGAGCGAATCCACAACCGCCTGGATATGCCGGAGTTGAGCCGGGACTTCGGGACGCAGACTTACGAGCAGCAGGTGGTGGAGCTGAGCCAGGATGGTGAGAGGGGCTGTGGACGCGGAAGGCAAGGAGGCGGGGACCTGCCTGGGCGGAGCCTTTGGGGCGGGGCTTAGCCTCTCGGGGGGCGGAGTCTAGGCCGCTGGAGGCCTGAAGGGGCGTGGCCGCTCAAACCCTGAGGCCTCTGCCCACCTGCAGCGGCCGAGGCCGGGCTCCAGCAGCGCCGGGTGTACGCGCTTCACCTGCGGCGCTACAACGATGCGCTGCTCATCCACCACACGGTCCGTGCTGTGGACGCACTGGCCTCGCTGCGGGAGTTCTACGACAGGGAGCGCGCCACTAAGACCCAGGTCCTGCATGCCGAGCGCTGGCTGCTGGCACAGTTCAATGGTGAGGCTCGTGGGAACTGTACTGGTCGGGGCACAGGAGTCAACACAGGTTGGGAGGGTGCCAGTGAGGGTACTGGGGCCCTATTTTTCTAACCGAAAGTCGAGGCCGTGGATAGGGCAAAAGATGTATGCCCTCATCTGTGGAAGTTTGCATAGCTATGAAAACGAATTCATGATACTGCCAAAGATTTTTTAAAAGCCATTAAGTTCAGGGACTGTCCCTTGAAAGTCTGGGGTGTGTGGTATCTTTAACCTGAGCAAGCGAGGTGGTCAGAGGGTAAAGTTTAATGCAAGAGACCTCAGCACGGCTGAGGGGGTTAGTTAATCCTGGGTGGCAGAGGTCAGCATGGAAAGGTCAAGTGTCATCCTGGTAGCTGGGTTGAAGAGGGGTGCTGGGTGAGCTATGTCTGCAAAGGATTCTATACTGTAGGTCCCTGTGGAAGCCTGGCTGGCTGGGTGGGAAGAGGGCGGCCTTAAATGTCCTTTCGGTGCCGTTCAGGCGGAATTAGGAGCCGAGATCCTCAGGCTCCCTCTCCACCTGCAGCCCTATCCCTGTGAACCACGCCCTCTCCCATTGCCCTGCCCACCTCCAGGCCTGAGTTCTGTGCCTCTGTTTTGGGCTTTTCTGGCAGACTACAAGAATGAGCTGGCCGACCTGGCGACACGTAGCCCGGAGAACCCCAAACTGGAGATGCTAGAACAGATCCTGCAAGAGCAGTTCGGAAGCTCCGACGGCCGCCGGGGCATCCTCTTCACCCAGACCCGCCAGAGCGCTCACTCTCTCCTGCTCTGGCTTCAGCAGCAGCCGGGCCTGCAGATACTGGACATCAGGGCTGACCTGCTGGTTGGGGCTGGGAACAGCAGCCAGAACACCCATATGACCCAGGTGTGGGCTTCAGGGAAAGGAGCCGGGGCGGAAGGAGTTCCTAGGGGAGAAAGGGTGGGGACGGAGTCTTCGCAGAGATATGGGGGACTGATTCTCCCCAGGCAGAGGGCAGAGAACTGGGGGAGAGAGATGGACACTGAGATCCCCAGTACTGAAGGTTTCCCCCATCTGGGGGTCCCTGGGGGCAGAGAGGCAGAAGCTTGTGGATCTCTAGGGAAAGAGGGAAGGGATGTTTTCAGGACAGAGGATCAGAGCTCTGGGGTCCCTTGCTAGAGAAGAATAAGTCCTGAGAGCTCTAGAGTAAAGCGGTGGGGATCTTTAGGAGTCCTTAGGGGAGACAGGGGTTAGGTGGTCACCTGGGAAGATGGGCAAGGCACTGGGGGTAGCAGTGGAGTCTTAGGCTCCCTAGGGAAAGGGGCCAGGATTGTGATTAAACCGGAACCAGGTGAGGCTGGGCTGGCAGGAGGGCAGGCCTGAACCCACCTGGCCTACCATGCTCTTTCTCCGCCCCAGAGAGACCAGCAAGAAGTGATCCGGAAGTTCCGGGCTGGCATCCTGAACCTCCTGGTGGCTACAAGCGTGGCGGAAGAGGGGCTAGACATCCCCCAGTGCAATGTGGTGGTGCGCTATGGGCTCCTGACCAACGAGATCTCCATGGTCCAGGTGTGTGAACCCCGTGATGCCAACAGCCCTCAGAGATCCTTATGGGACCCCAGGCCTGCTCAGGCTCCTCCCTATCTCCTTCCTCAGGCCAGGGGCCGTGCCCGGGCTGGTCAGAGTGTGTACTCGTTTGTGGCGACCCAAGGCAGTCGGGAGCTGCGGCGGGAGCTGACCAACGAGGCGCTGGAGACTTTGATGGAGCGGGCCGTGGCTGCCGTGCAGAAGATGGATGAGGCCGAGTACCAGGCCAAGGTCTGTGGGCAGCCTGCATGCCCTGCGGACAGAGGGGGGCTGAGGATGCCCTGCCTGGAAGGTCTACACACACACACACACACCCCCACCCCCCCACCCCCCCACCCCCCCCACCCCTGCTCCCTCTTCCTCTGGGGGCTAACTTGGCCCACCTGGGAAGGCTTAAATGGACGTGAAGTGTAAAGGCCAAGGGTGGGGCTGCCAGGGAAGGCAATGGTTCTTCTTCAAACGCCTTGAGAACAGGCCTCATCTGAGCTTTTAATTCCTCATCACCAAGTACTTTGTGCATCTGTGAGAGCTGTCTTACACCTCTTCTGGCACCAGGCGGGGGGAGGGAGGGACAAAGACACATGTACAAAATAAGCCCAGAACCAGGACTTCAATCTGTTCCCCTGAGGCAGGGTCACCATCATCCAGCCTTGCCCGGGACAGCCCCCGTTTACACCTGTTATCCAGCGTAATTATTAGTGATGCCCCGTGTTTGATCCAAAGAAGCAGCTTTGCACGAAATCCTCCAAAGAGGAGGCAGAGACTCAGTGACAACACTCGCTCTGCTCCCACCATGCCCCCACCATGCCCCCACCATGCCCCCGTTCCATACTCTTTTCCTCCACAGAGCTGCTTCTAAAAGCCCCAGGGAAGGTTGAGGAAAGTTTCTTCTGGGTACTAACGATCTGAGGCCTCCAGGAGCCCTTTGTTCCCTGAGCACATTCCGGGGGGGAGGCCTCTAGGGGCCCCATCTATGTCATGTCCCCCTCCGACTCCAGATCCGGGATCTGCAGCGGGCAGCCCTGGTCAAGCGGGCCGCCCAGGCAGCCCAGCGGGAGAATCAGCGGCAGCAGTTCCTGGCCGAGCAGGTGCAGCTTCTCTGCATCAACTGCATGGTGGCCGTGGGCCACGGGAGTGACCTGCGGAAGGTGGAGGGCGCCCATCACGTCAACGTGAACCCCAACTTCTCGTAAGACCAGCAGGAGGGGCCGGTGGGATGGGAGGGAGGGCACGGGCGGGATGGGGGACCGGGAACCCCTCCCATCCAGACAGAGCTCTGAGGGTTTGCGAGCTTAAACAGCGTTTTGACAAGTACCGAATCTGCGGACAGGTTTTATCGCCACCCCGTTTTGCAGGTGAGGTGACAGAGGCTCAGAGAGGCTACATGACTTGTCCAGGCTCCCACAGCCACTATGTGGTTGAGCAAGAGCTGGAATTGAGGACACCAAATGCTGAGGGGCCACAAACTCCTCCCCCTGAACCCCGGCTGTCCTACCTACTCTGAAGGCAGAAGGGCTGGTTGTCCCTGAGCCATTCTGTCATCCTCCATCCCCTAGAGGGGAACCTTCCGCCCCCCTCCATTCGACCATCCATTCATTAAGGATTGATTAGGGACCCGCTGTGTGCCAGGCCACTGTGCCAAAGATCTCCACGCAGGCTCTCTCATTTAAGGAGGTAGCACTTCAACCAGGACGTGCAGGCTGGATTGGGCTGGAAGGGGGGATGCGTACAGGCAGGGATGATGTGATAGGACTGATTCTGGTTGGTTTGAGTGGGAAAGGCCATGAAGGATGAGACTGAAGAAGCAGACTAGCCTGTGGAGAGCACTGAAGGTCAGGCCTGAAAGTCTAGCCTTTGTCTGGAAGGCAGTGAGGAGTCTTGGGTGAATTTTGAGCAAGGGAATGTCAAGGTCAGATTTGCATTTTTAGAAGATCACCCTGGCAGTTGGCGGAAGGATGGCGTGGGTTGGGAGTGCAGATGGAATGGGATGGAAGGGTGGGGCAGGGAGATCTGTTGGGGGGTAGTTGGAATCATCCCGGTGGGCAGTCCTGAGGCCTGAACTTGGTGGGAGGGCATGCAACGAGGCAGCACAGACAGGGCTTATTGAAGGTTGGGTCTTCTGGCCCTGGGAAGTCTCTTTGCCTCTTGGCAGTCAGAAAAGCCCAAGGTCCAGGTGGAGGCCCAGCAAGCAGGAGGGCACAAGATCGGGGGCTAAGTGGGGGGCGTCCTGAGCACTGTGGTCCCTCCCATTCCCCTCCAGGATCTACTACACTGTCTCCCGGGGGCCTGTGGTCATCGACAGAACCTTCAAGGACTGGAAGCCTGGGGGTGCCATTCACTGCAGGAACTGTGGGGAGGTAAGTATTGGGGCCATGGCCCTGAACTCCAGTCTTCAGAAGTCCCCAGTCTGAGAGAGGAGGCCCAGCCTCTGCCATCAGGACATCCTCACGGGGATGGGGGAAGCAGCTCTGGCCCAGGAGTCCCTCATCTGAGGAGAGAGGTCTAACCACAGTGTGACTGGGGAGACAGCTCTGAGGTAGGAGACCCAGGCCCTGCCTTCATGGATGCATGATTCTCTCCTCCCCCAACTTGAGGAGAAAAGCCCAGTCTGAAGACGGTGGCCCAAACCAGCCATCTCTGTCCCACCCTCAGGCCTGGGGTCTGCAGATGATCTACAAGTCAGTGAAGCTGCCAGCGCTCAAAGTTCGCAGCATGCTTCTAGAGACACCCCGAGGGAGAGTCCAGGCCAAGAAGTGGTCCCGCGTGCCCTTCCTCGTGCCTGACTTTGACTACCTGCAACACTGTACCCAGAACCTGTCTGACTTCACCCTGGATTGAGCCTCCTGTCCCTGCAGTGCCTGGCTCAGGCTGCAGGGGGCAGGAGAATCCGTAGCAGCTGCCGTCTTCCACGGGGCGAAGCCCGGGCCCAGGCCCCTCTTGTCTGAGTCACCAGCTCGGGGCGTTTTGCTGACCAGCCACAGACAACCCGGGCACCCAGGCTGGCTGACACTCCCACGCCAAGGAAGCAACTGGAGAGCCACAGCTCAGCCTCAGTCTCCCTGCACACTCACAGATACTCCAGTGCACTAGATGGACGTGCGGGTTGGGGGGCATTGGGAGGGAAACTGAGGCAGGAGGCTAGCCCCACTAAACTAGCAATCACCACAACTTCCCTTGACCCCCTGACATTCCTTCCCTGCCAAGGCCACTTCTATTTTTGGAGGCTCCTCATAAATTGAAAATAAAGAAGTAGAAAATTGGTGTAGAAAAGTTACGGTTTTTTAAAAATAGATTTGTTGAGGTATAAATGACATAAAATAAACTCTGTAATTACAGTGTATAATTTGATAAATTTTTATTAAAAAATTTTTTTAATGTTTATTTTTGAGAGAGACAGAGACAGAATGCAAGTGAGTTAGGGGCTGAGAGAGAGGGAGACACAGAATCCGAAGCAGGCTCCAGGCTCTGAGCTGTCAGCACAGAACCCGACACGGGGCTCGAACTCATGAACTGTGAGATCATGACCTGACCTGAAGTCGGACACTTAACTGACTGAGCCACCCAGGTACCCCTAATTTGATAAATCTTAACCTGTCTTCCACAATCAAGACAGCAAACATAGCCATCACCTTCAAAAGTTTCCTTGTTCCCATGTATTCCCTCCCTCCTCCCTCCTCCCCTTCCCCCTGCACTGATCTGATATTTTTAAGGTTAAAAGTTGTGGTGGTGGTGGTGGTGGTGTTTTAACCACCCCTCTTTATGGCTCTCAGGTAACCTTATTTGGAGAGAGCACCCCAAGCCTCCATTTGAGAGCCATCCAGAATGGTCCCCCTGCCCCCTCCAACTCCTGAGAGTCTCCAACCCCAGCAGCACCCCTCCATCTTCTCCTAACCCCCGGGGGTCACCTCCCTGGGCTGGGGAGAGGCTGAGAATCCAGGATTGGAGGGGTGGTGCTCAGGTAGGCACTGGAGCGGGGGAACCCGTAAAGGCCTACATTTTCTGTTCTCATTTTAACAAGGAAGAAAAAGAAAGGCAAGATCTAGGTTGATTCTTCAGGGAAAGGGCTATTTCTGTAGTAAGAGGCCCAGCAGGCAGGAGTCACCTTCAAGAGGAAGGGAGGGGGCTAGAGCAGAGATTTGAAAGCAGGATGGCAGTCCTTCCTGCCGTCTAATCTCCTTCCTTCCTGCTACATCCTGGGTCCTGCCTAAGGGTAGATGGAAATAAGGCACTTTCTTTTCCCCAGCACCTCCTTTTGGATCTGTCTCTTGTCTGATTGAGGCTGAAAGTCCAGTTCCAGTCTTTTTTGGCCTCCATTGCCCCAGAGGGAACCCCTTTCCCTGGGGCCTCTCTTCCTCCTCATCTTCTCCGGGAGGCATCCCTCGTCCTTGGTTCCAGGAGTCACCCTTCTTCTCCCTGCTGTCACATCTCCGCCTCCTGGGGCCCGTCCTCTGCCCATCCGGTCCCCACTTCGCCTTCAGTTGTTATCTTCCCCTGCCAGCAACGTGCCTTTTTCAGGTCAATAAAATTAGCGACTGGGGGCAGAGGGGGGGTGGCAGGGGCCCAGGGGTGCTAAGCTCAACGGCCTTGAATGCGGCTGGACGCACGGAGTCTGGACGCCTGTCATTCCAGGGCTAAACAGTGACAGCTGAGGGGCCTGAGCTGGTGTTGGGGGCAGGGGATGGTGTTGCAAGGAGTGATGGATTGAGGATAAAGATGACCTGGGCACCTAATGGTCCCCCGCAGTGGCCTGAACCCCTACACAGCTGACCCCTGGATGGGGGACCCTGACTTCAGAGGAGGTGTCCTCTCACCCACCTTGCCAGGCTGGGAGAGCTTTCTTGAGCTAGGATGAAAGGGGAAACTCAGGCAAGGAGGGGTTCCTAGGCTTTCTTCTTCTGGTGAAGGGTCTTCACATGGTCACTCCCTCCAGGCCATGTGGGCTAGGCTGCCCGAAGCGGGTGGGGGGGATCCTACCTTCTCAGCCTTCGATAAGCCCAGCTCCAGACCCTCCCTAGTGGCCCAGAAGCTCTCCTCGCTTTCGGTCCCCCTGAATAAACCCGCCCACCGTACCCGACCGCGGCTCCGGGAGGGGCTGCGCCGCGGCTCCCTCTCCCCGGCCCCGCCCCCCGAGCCGGGCCCCGCCCCCTCCCCCCGGCCAGCCGGGAGCCGCGGCGCTCCCGAGCGCAGCGAGAGCAGGTGGCCGCGGCGGACTCCGTCTCTGCCCTGCAGGTAAGTCAGCGACGCGGGCTGGTCCACGCTGAGGACCTCGAGGGCAGCGCGGGAGAACAAGGTAGCCCCCTCCACCTGTCCTGTGCCCTCGTCTCAAAACTGGGGGGCCCCACGAGACGGTGAGGACAACCCTTTTGGTTCTGCGCGCCCCGACGCTGGGCATCTAGCTAGTGGGACTAAAAACTCTGGCGAAGTTTAGAGGCTCCTGGCTGGCTATCCCTGATGCCGGCGTGGGCTCTGAGGGATGAGAAGAGACAGAGCATTAGGCACGCAGCTTTCTGAAGGAGAGCGGGTCGGGGATGGTGACTGCAGGGCTCCGGGTGAGGACCCTTTCGCTGACTCCGGGTGCCCCGTGCCTCATCCAAGTGTCGCATCCTATTCCCACCCTTCGGGAGGGATAGGGTGAAGCAAACAGCTTCTGTCCTGTGGGTAAATGAGGTAAGAGCACATAGCTGAGCTGGGACCTGGGTTTTCCCGTGAACCCAGGGCGCGTCCGCATCATTTGTTACACCTGGGTACAGATACACGTGGGTAACGCGGATGAGGGAGCAGGGGATCATCCAGAAGGTCTGGGGAACCCAGAGAGCCGGGGGACTGAGTAGATCTTTTCTGTGTTCATGTCCCAGAGCCAGTCGGAGAAGATGATCACAGAAGGGAGCCTTACTGCAGACGTGGGGTGCATTTGTACCTTCCGTGTTGGCATTTGGGTTGTAGGAAAGGGGTCCTGCCTCCTAGTACTCAAGGAAGGCTTCCTGGAAGAGGAGGTCCTGGACTGACAGCTCAGATGTCATGTTCAGAGCTCTGAGCCACAAGGGAAGGTCAGACTCTGGGCCCTGGTGCTGGGCTGGGGTACAGCAGAGGATCCCAGATTGTAGAAAAAAGAGAGGTCAGGATGCTGCCCTCTGGATCCAGCCAGGACCCCAAGACCTTCTAGAGATCATCACAAGCTCATGGACGGAGATCCAACTTAGGCGGGAGGGCTTCTTTTGTATGTCTAGTTTCCCCATTCCATTGTCTCCTCCCACCACACAAACTGTCATTGTTGGGAAGTTCTTTCCTCATAGCTGACCTTCATCCCTTCTGCTTCTGTGCCTGCCTCTTCTGGAAGGCAATGTGCTGTAGTGGAAAGAGTGGGGTCATTGTGGTCAGTTAGACTTGAGTTCTATCACCTGTACCTACTGTGTGACCTTGGGCAAGTTACTTAACCTCTTTGAGTTTGCTTCCCCACCTGTAAAATGGGGATAATAATAGAACCCACCTCATAGGGTGGCTGTAAGGATTAAGTGCGAATACGCATGTAGAGCGCTTTGCATACTGCCTGGCGCCTAGTAAGAGCTCAACAAGTGTAAGTGTCCCCTCCTGTGTAGGACAGCAAAGCCGATCTGCAGGGGGTGGGGGTAGGGGTTGGAAGGTTTTTTTTAAACTTGGCCAGAGAGAGCAGTGCCCTTCACCACCACCACCCCTCCAGCCCCTGCCCCCTGCTGGCTCCTGGATCCCCGTTGGACTCTCTGGGCTGCCCAGGGACCCTCTCCTCCTTCTCTTTCAGTCGCCGTGGTTTTTTGTGTCCAGAGTGAAGAGAGGGACCCCAACAGGTCAGGGACCAGTGGCAGCAGGAGCCCACTTGGGGCTAAGCCTCAAGGGAACAGACTGGCTTAGAGAACCAACTGAAAAAAAAAAAAATGCCCCATTTGTCATCACCTCCCTGCCCTCCCCACCTCCAGAAATCCACAAGTTGGGATCAAGCCTCACCAAAATTTTCCAGGAAGATAAATAATACAAGTGACTGAGAGTCCTGTTTGGGGATTGTCCAAGCTGCCCTCCAAAGGCAGCTTCAGTCCCTGGCCCGCGCTCTGGAAGCTGCTGGGAAGGCTGGATCTAGTAAGCACCCTTAAACCTGGGCAGGGGAGGGAGTGTCCTTGCCCTCACTGGGTGCTTTCAAGGGCTCCGCTCTCATCCTCCTCTGGCCATTCCTCTCCCTGTGGGGTGAGGAATCAGGAAGGCCAAGGGGATGAACCTGTGCTTTCCCTTCAAGATCACATTCCCCGTACCTGTGACTCCGGAAGTCCCTGCCCAGATGGTCACCCAGCTTGCTCCCAGCCCCTGCAAGCCTCCACCCCGGGCCTGTTCTCAATGTAGGTCGTGTCACTAGCGTGTGCACCCCTCGGCCTCAGGGGCGACTGCAGATGGCTAAGGGGCAGCTGTTTGCAAGGCATAAGGATGGAGCCAGGATGTGAGGCTCGGTGTCCACACGCACGCATCTGAGTCTCTTGTGGTGCAGAAAGGAGCTCTCCCTCCATAGCGTCATTCTCCTGCAAAAGTCCCAGGAGTCAGAGAAATCTAAGTTGGAACCTGGTCTTCCAGGTTGTTATGGAGTGTACTTGTCAAGATGCGAGGTTAGAACATATTTCAATTCCGTTTGTTGGCTTGCCCCAGGCCCTGCAAACGTTCAGGGTGGGCCCGGCAGCATCCGTGACCGAAACTGGTATTTGGTGAATTTCCTCCCTGCCTCCCTGCTTGCGCTGCCCCCCAGTAAAGCAGCACGCCCTGTGAAACTGGGCAGAGGACACGCCCACCTGGACCAGGAAGGCGTTTCAAGGTGACATGAAGACTGTCAGCTGTCACTAACAAGCAGTCCCCGCTTGGGCCTGCTGACCTCATTCTCCACCCCAAAAGTGGGACAGTGTCTTTCAAATGTCCTGTGATGCTTAAGAGGGAATGGATGAGAGGGGCACGGTCGCTTTTCTCCTGAGTGGGGGCAGGGCGTGGGCCCCTGCTGGGCCCCAGGAGGTCAGCGGCACTGCAGCGGGATGGGGGATGGATGTGACAGTGGGGGCCGGGGGGAGGTCAGAGCTGGACCCCACCACCCTTCCCGCTGCCCTGCTCAGAGGGAGATGCGCCTGGAGCCAAGAAGGAGCCGTGGGTCTGTAACGTGGGTCCTCCTGTAAGTTTAGGTCTTGGGCTTTGGATGGAGAAGAGCATGGAGGCCAGCTGGCCGGGCAGTGGGAGTCATCCCCAGCGGGAACAAATGGCACACTGGTCTCGACTACAGCTGAGTGCCCCGTGGCACCTGAACACACCGTCTGTTCGCGGGAGAGAGACACGCGGCCTTTGTGTGGCCGTCTCTGACGCTCATCGGTTGTGATCGGGCTGTTTGAGGGTCAGACCTGCCGCTTTGGCCTCATTGGCACTGGTCGAAGGCTCACACTCAGATGCCCTCGCACGGCCAGGCACACGTGCCCGTTTGCACCGGCTCACGGTTGCACGCTCAACACGGCTCCGAGTGCAATCTCGGGGATGGGTCCCCGCAGACCCGCCCTGACGTGTGTGCCTGGGCCACCCCCGTGCGTTCGCCACAGCCACGGTGTCACCCTCCCCTATCGGTCGGTGACTTTTCATTCACCTTGGGTGACCCGCCGGCTCCAGTGGCCAAGGGTTGGCTTACTCGAGGGTGGCTGGGGGCCAGATGCCTGCAGCGCTTCAGTGCCGGGGACAGAAGACGGCAGCAGTGCCCTCCTGGGACTCCCCACAGATCCACTGGACCCGACATTTGGCACCTCTGGTCCCCCAAATCTGTCAGGGGGTCCCCAGGCCCTGAGTCTCAGTCTGTCTGTCTTTGTGTAGCTCTGTGAGCCTCTTTCTGCCTCCCAGCGTGTAAGTGCGTCTGTCCCTGTGTCCCCCCCGCGCGCTCTCTGCTCAGTCCTTCTTCCCCAGCTCCTGTGCCTGTCGTTTCCGCCTCTCCTCCCTCCCTGTCTCTGGTCCATCTCTTTTTCTGTGTGTCTTTCTCTCTCTTTTTCTCTGTATGAGCACCTCTGTCTCTCTAAGTCTCTTTTTCTCTGCGTGTCTCTGCCCTTTTATCTCTGTCACACACACACACACACACACACACACACACACACACACACACACACTTCCTCACCCTCAGTCTCTCATTTCTGTGTCTCCACTTGTGAGACGTCTTTCAGGTTCATCTTTCTGTCTTTACAGCTCTCCATCTCTGCCTCTGAGTCGGGTTTGTGCCTCTGAGATCTCTGTCTTCCTCTCACGAGGCGTCCCAGAGGGACAGGACAGCCAAGTGTCTCTGAGTGTGTAGAAGAAGGTGACAAAGCATGGCGGGGGAGTGGGGGTGGGGGTGTGTGTGCTGCTATGGCTTCTGGGTTGCTCCTCTGCCAGGCGAGGAGGGGGAGAGTAGGATCAGGTTCGGGAGAGGACGGATGTCAGCCCACCTCCCCCACGTCTTCTGTCAAGAACTTCAGAACTTGGGGGGCTTTGGCTCCAGACTCCTTCTTCAGCCACCAGGCCCAGGGTCATGGACTGGGAACAGGGCCGGGGCTTCAGAGTGACAAAGAGGAGAGCCCCTTGTCTGTCCGGTTGATCTGATTGACCCGGAGCCGAAGGAAGGGCGTTGGGGCTTTGGAGTCCCCACTCCGGAGAGGCGCTGACCAGAGTGGGGCTGGACTCGATGCTTTTCTTTCCCTCGAAGCAGCCAAGCCCCACACACCCACCCCAGGCCCCCCGCTTCCTGCTCCAAACCACCGGCTACTCCCCACCCTGTTCCAGAGGTTTCCGCTGACTGCCCCAGGGCGAGGGGCCTGCCCAAACAGCCTCCCTGCTCTCTCCTCGGGCATCCCCACCTCAGCGGGCCTCTCCTCGCCACTGCCCTGGCCTCTCGCACAGGAGCGGCTGTGTTGGCTGTTTGTTTATTTGACTAAGGTTTCCTTGGGTGGAGTGAGGGCTGAATCCACAGATACTTCTCCCCAGTTCAGATGCCCAGGCAAGAGGCCAGACTGCCCTCCCCCAGGTCCCACTCGCCTCTTCTCTATCCTCAGGCCCCAGACTTTTCTATCCTCCTGGTCTCGGTCTGTGATTCCTCCATCCGAGGCTGGCTACCCCCCATCTCACTGGACGGGCAAGTTGGGGAGGTGTGAGCCACACCCCTCACCACCCCTATCCCTCACTGAGGGGAGGGTATTGGGAACTGGATCCCTTGGGTTCTCCGGGGGATTCCCAAAGAGGAGCACATGGGGTATGGTCTTCAGAGGGTGGGAGAAGGTCTGCCCCCCTGCCTATCCGCTCTCACAGTTGAGGCTTGAGCCAGAGCTAGCGTGAGTCTTCAGCAGAGAAATGATGCTCTAATGGGCTCAGGGCCTCCCAAGATCTGTCCCAGAATGACCTCCCTGAGATGCTGAGGTCCATTCCTGGATTGTGGTACCGACCCATACATAGAACTGCATCATCCTGCCCTCTGAGCGCCCGGAGAGGTAATGAAACCCCCACTGAGGTGGAGTCTGGACTCGAACCCAGGACTCCTCACTCCCCAGCCTGTACCAGAGCTGCCCGTTGGGCAAAAAGAACCCACTTCTCCCTGCATTTGAGCCTCCCCCACATCTCCTCTGTCTTCACTGGCCTGCAATGGAGACTCCTCTGGCAGAGACACGCAGAGACCCATGTCTCCTCTCCGGTTGGGAGGGGATTATAAGGGCAGGTAGCATTCTTGTGACCTCGTTCTGAGATCGGCTGCCCTAGTTAGCAGCTTCCTGAGGGGAGAGGGACAGGAGAAGCTTTTAGACATGGTTTCAACCATCTGGGTGCTAATTGGGAACGCGACTGTTCCTAGGTTGAGGCTGGGACAGCTATTCTGGGGCTTCAGGATGAGGGGTGGAGGTGGAAAGGCCAGAGGGGACATCAGGAAGTTTCCCCAAATAGCCCGGCCCACAGCCAAAAGTGGGAGCGGGGTTAGGGAGGGGGGCAGCTGGCCAGCTGGCACAGGGACCTGGGCCTTGGGAAGCTGAACAAGGAGCATGAATGGAGCAGGTCTGGTATTGTTTTCTTCTCTCTCCTGCTAACAGGCTCCTCTGGAATTTGGCGTCAGGAGTAAGAGGGCCAGGTGGGGGGGGGGGAGGGGTTGGGGTGTGGGGATAAAGGTAGAATGGAAGGATATGTCTCTGCTCTGCCCTTTTCCCTTCCAGGGGCCCTTGGAAGCTCCAACCCATTCCCCTGCCCCTCACCCTAGTGATACTGTTTTATCCATTCATTCAACAACTATTTACTGAGCGCCTACTATGTGTTGGACTTGCTAGGCTTGCCCTGGGGATCCCAAGGGGGAATAAGACAGGGAGAAGTTGCCCTGGGAATTCAAGGTGGGGGGATAGGACAGGGCGAAGAGTGAGTGCCAGGAGGCAGGAAGGAAATCTGCCTTAAGGAGGGCAGTGAGGGAAGGCATCTCCAGGAGCTGTTATTTCAGCATCAGCCACAAGTAGGGGAGGTAGGAGCTGGGAGGAGAAGAGTGTTCCAGGCAGAAAGAATGGGTTTTGAGAATATGCTCTGCTCTGAAGGGGGACCTTGCTGCGCTCTGGGGAGAGAAAGAGCCCAGTGTGGCTGGAGTTCTCATGAGCGGTGTAGGGAGTGGTAAGAAAACATCGGAGGGGCACAGGATCTTTTGACCTGGACATTTTGACCCCAGGATGTTTTGAATGCAAACATTGTAAACCCAAACATACCAGCACTGAAGACGTTTTTAGCAAGTGGTTTCCAGTTTGAACTCTTTTCATCCGATTTAATTTCTTGATCAGATTTTTCAATTTTTCCTCTATGGTACAGTTAAACACATTTCCATTTTTTTCCATTCCATTTTAATTTTACTGGAAGTATTTTCATTGGCATCAATGCTGTATAATTTTTGCTGCCGAGATTTGATCCATCAGTCAATGTGGCATCAGTCAAAGGCTCCTGACCTTAGTCTCAGCCATTGTGTGACGGGGTAAACTCATCCGATTCGGGAAGGTTGAAATTTTAAGCAAGATTTGTGGTCAAGGCTGGATTCTTCTGTCCCTTTTAGTCAATAAGGAGTGTTTTTGTATCTGATTCTAGCCATTATCAGTGTTAGCTCTACCGGTAGTATTCTTAGGCGGAGACTTGTATTTATATCTCCATTAATCTGTGGGAGGAAGCCAGTGGAAGGGTAGGTTGGAAGAGGAAAAGGGTTTGGGGGAGGTGGGCAGAGGCCAGATCTTCCAGGCTACGATAGGCATTCTCTAAGGTGAGGGAGAAGCCTTTGGAGATTTGGGGCAGGAGAGGGATGTGATCGGATTTGCCCTTTTGCAAGGCTCCTTCTGGGACGTGGGGAACAAACTGGGAAGGTGAGAGATGGAGAAGTGGAGGCAGGGAGGCCAGTGAGGAGGTTGTCATGCCAGTCCAGGTGGTAAAGAGAAGCAAACAGATTGAAGAAAGGTTTAGGGAGATAGAAAGGGTAACCAGAGTAACCTCCATGTCATGCCCCACCCCCTCGGCTCCTGCCTGTCCCTTCCTCTGGGGCCCCAGACACCTTAGAGTCTGGTCACTTGGAATTTGCACAGGGTGGAGACCAAGAATGGGGGTGTTTTCCTTGGGGCTGCCTCCCAGTCTGCCTCCTGGCTGAATGCAGCCCAGGGAGGGTCAGGGATGCCCTGCCGCGGTTGAGATGGGGGGCTGGAAGGGGTGGGGGATGACCCTCAGATCCGCCCAGCCAGAGCACGTGGCTGGAGCGGCCAGGGTGACCGCAGACCTGGCGGCGAAACAGACCAACACACAGGGCGCTTGTCTGGCTGTTGCTCTGAGCTCAGGGTGTGGCCCTGGGCAGGGGTACAAAGGGGCCTCTGTCAGTGCAGGGCACAGAGCCCACCTGGGCCAGGGCAGGCGCCTGAGGAGTGAGGGAGGTGGGCCCAGGGGTGCTGGGAGAGACCGGACTTGAAGTGCCACAGTCCCGAGGCTTGGGTGTCATCTGACACCGTCCCTTTCTCTCCTGAGCTTCAGTCTCCTAGCCTGTAAAATGGGATCTTAATCCCTGCCTTCCAGATCTGGTGCATTGTCAGGACCCACTTTGCTGACGGACGAAAGCATGGCCTTCAGAGAATAATGTATTTTTAAACATTATTTAACAAACACACACAGTGGTTACCATGTGCCTGTTTGCTGAACACTTTATGACCAGTGGCTCATTTAATCCCATAGTGACCCTCTAGGAGAGGTACTATTTATTCTTATTTTGCAGATGGGGAAACCAAGGCACAGACCGAGGTCACACAGGAAGTGGCAGAGGTGGGATTTAACCCAGGCATTATGGCTACACTATGTTGCTTCCCAAAAGGAAGGGGTGGGCATCATGCCAGGCGCCTGGAGTAGGGTGAGCCTGATTCTTCAGCAAGGATAGGGGTATATTCTGGCACACCTTTGCCTTGGGGAGCACAACTGGGCCATGTCTCCCATCTCAGGGCCTGGCCCGTAGGGCAGGGCTAAGGGTGAAATAGGAGAGAGAGAAGTCAGACTCCACAAGAGGAATCCGGGATCAGAGACCCAGGAGAAGGAGCGGAGCACGAATCTCTCAGGGTGGGTCACAACTTTCCCACCTGTGGCTCAGTTGTGGGGGCAAGTGCGCCCAGCAGAGGCTGGGGTAGATTTGGTACTCCTTCAGCTAAGATGAGGCATACCCTGTGGGATGCCAGGCTCAGCGCCGTGTGCTTGGAGAAGCCAGCCCTACCCCTGAGAGACCAGGGTCTGGCCGGGCATGAAGCATGAATAGAATGGCACAGGGGCTTGGGCCCAGGGGCCGAGCGAGGGTCGTAGGGAAACAGACCCCACGCCCACAGCGGTGGGGACCTTCAGGCTTCATGATAAGCCTAGGAACATGCCCGGGACTTGCCTGTTTGAGAAAGGAGGCACTTCTCAGGTTGAGGGCAGAGATGGGGCAGTGGGAACCAATGTGGCGGGTGGTCCTGTGTGGGCGTGGCTGGGGTCCGTGGTGGGGGGCGCTCCGTGCCAAGCTCTGACCTGAGACTTACTCTCCTAGACACATCGCTAGACCTGTCTGCTCTTCAGAATTACCTGGGTGCTTGTTAGAAAGGCAGATGCTGGGCCTTAGCCCGGCCCCTAAATCTGAACCCCTAAGGCTGTGGCCCAGCCCGCAATGCCGGACAAGCTCCCCAGGTGATACTCACATGGACAGGCAC